ACGCCAGGCCCAGCACAGAGATTCTTCCCAAACGGACCGTCTGGGTGTGGGGAGCGGCTACAGCTTTGGGCAGGTTCAAGCCTGGGCTAATGAGAGGGCAGCTCCTCTCCTGGCGAAGCCACGTGCAAGTCCCAGCACAGCGACAGCCAAAGGCTGTGCTCGTGAGCTTGCCCTTATGGTCTGCACCTGTGGCCCACGTGGCTGAGTGACGGGGCTGCGGGAGGAGCAGCCGGTAAACAGGCTGGGTCAGGTGCGTGTGGTGGAGCGGATCGAAGCCCGCGAGAACATGACCAGGCCCTTCCTCTGCCCGTGGGATCTGCTGTAAAACGAGACTCGGCCTGCGGGCTGTGGCGCTGTCTCTGCGTCAGACAGCGGGGTCCCACCCAGCCCCAGCTTTCTTCTCGTCTGTCTGTTCTCCGTCCTTCACCGCCCTCTCAGGCTCACCGTGGCCGTGGCCGTGGCCGTGGCCGTGGCCGTGGCCGTGGCCGTGGCCGTGGCCGTGGCCGTGCGGCACGTTTGGGCGCTCTGTTCGTGTCTGCAGGCATCTGGGATGCAGCGAGCTGCCCTGTGTCTGAGCCCAGAGCCTGCCCGCAGCCCGTGGGAGCGGGAGGCTGGGGAGGGTGTTAGCCGGGCCGAGGGGGAGAGAGTCACGAAGGGGGATCCCGCCGGCCGAGGACCCCCCGGGGAGCTGCGTGGCGGGAGTGGGGGCCGGGCCCGGGCCCCGGGGGAGGCTTCTGCAGGAAGCCTGGGGCCGGTGCTGGGCGGGTGTGAGGCTCAAGAGCTGCTCCTGGGGCCGTTGGGCCGGAGCTGGGACAGGACGTGGCCTGCAGGGGGCCTTCCGGGGCCAGGGCGTGGAGGCGGGGTTCTGGTCGGACTGGTGCCATGCCTCAGGCCATGCCAGAGCGGTCTGGATGGCAGCCTCCCGGGCGGACGGACCCCGGGCTCACGCGGGATGGCGCGCCTGCCGGGACGGGCTGGGCGGTGGGACTTCCCCAGGGCTGGAGCCGGCGGCCTGGGAGAGGGTGCGGGTGCCCAGACAGGGGCCCCCAGAGCTGTGCCGAGACCCTGTTCCTGTTGCCCACCTGCGGGGCCTCCCTGGGGGGACCCGTCACCCTTGGACCCAGGCACCGAGCAGGGGGGATGGCGAGGAGAGGCGGCCTCTGCAGGGTGGCTGGGCGTGGGGGGAGGCGGGACTTCCTCATGGTAGCCAGTGCCGCCCTCCCCCCACAGACACTTCCTGTCCCCCCTCCCCCCTGCTGTGTGCACCTAGAACCGGTGACCTGGGGGCCTCGAGTCTCCGTTGCCAAATCGGGCTCACGGGGCTCAGAGCAGAGCTGCTCTTCTGCCCTGGCTGCCGCTGCCCTCGCTCCCGAGGGTGAAAGTGAAGAAAGCGTTTCACAGACGCCGGGCCACCCAGCGCCGGCCACCCGGCCTCACAGAGCCGGCCAGGGCAGCGGGGGAGGGAGGCGGGGAAGCGGCCCCGCCTGGCCCTCGGCCCGGCTTCCTGTGGGAGTCCCGCCTCCATGCCAGGGTCAGGTTCATCTAAGTGAGAGGAGAGAGGCCACATATCCTAGTTCTCTCTCCGAGGCAGGCAGAGAGAAGCCACCCAGGAAGCCACGGGCTTGCCATCCTGGCCTCTGCCCGCTCCCAGCGGAGACGTGGGGACCTTCCAGGCCGTGGCGCTCGGGCTCGGGCTGGCTCTCCTGGCGCGTGGAGGCCTCTGTCTGCGGTCGGCGTCTGCGGGGAAAACCCCGCGCGCGCGGCCACAGCCCGGCCGGCAGCTCCCGGCACAGCGACGGAGGCTGCAGGAAGCAGAGGCCAGGCTGACGTTAGGGTGGGGTCATTGTACCCCAAATCTGTAGCAGAGATCGGCCAATTAGATTTATTTATTAAAAAGTATATATATGTTATTGATTTTTTTTTACAGAGAGGAAGAGAGAGGGATAGAGAGTTAGAAACATCGATGAGAGAAAATCATCCATCAGCTGCCTCCTGCACACCTCCCACTGGGGATGTGCCCACAACCAAGGTACATGCCCCTGACTGGAATCAAACCCGGGACTTTTCAGTCCGCAGGCCGACGCTCTATCCACTGAGCCACACCGGTTTCTGCTCATTAGATTTATTTATTAGTCCTCATCGAGGACGTGGGGAAGGGGTTGGGGAGGGAGGAGAGAAACATCAATGATGTGAGAGAAAAATACCAATCTCGGCCTCCTGCACACCCCTCCGGGGGAGCGAGCCCGCACCCTGACCTGTGCCCTGACCGGGAATCGACTGGCGACCTCGGGGTGCACAGCACGCCCGACGCCCCACCCACTGAGCCGCTCCGGCCGGCCGGCACGTTGGCCTTAAAGGGGGAGAGTTCCTGGAGGCAGTGGAAGCAGCCCCCACCTGTTCGTCTGCATCACTGATTGGCTTTGACTGGAGTTTCCTGCCTAGGGGATACGGATGTATCCTATCATTTAGTTTTAAAAAAGGGATGGAAGAGCCAGAGCGAGGAGTAGTCCTCCCACTAGAGGTGGGCTCCCGCCTGGCCCCCATTTCCCAAATTAATGCTTTTTTAGTCTCTCTTCGTTTGTGTTCGGCCTTCTCCAGAATCCGAACCCTGAACCAGGCTGAACGTGAAAGGGGCTCCCACAACAACCCGGGCCTGTGCCTTGACCGGGAATCTAACCCTGACCTCCTGGTTCATAGGTCAATGCTCAACCCCTGAGCCAGGCCGGCCGGGCCCCAGACATCCCAGAGGCACACAGGCCTCCTGCAGCCCTGCAGCCTTCCCCCTGGGGAGCTGGGAGCTGGGCACGGGGCAGCCTGAGCTTCCAGGAGCGGCTGGCCCGGCCCCTGCCAGGGCGTGCTGGGCACGGGGCAGCCGGGGCTGGGCGTGGTGTGCACCCTGGAGGGCAGTGTGGGTGGCCTCCTGGGGCTGGAGTCAGGACAGGACACACACTGCCCATTGTGGCCGTCACATTCCTCCGGGCGTGCCACTGGAGGGCGTGCCACCGCCCGGGCATCGGAGGCGGCGGCTTGGGTGTTCCCTGCGGCTGAGTTTTGAGTCAACAAGGTTTCAAGGTGACCGGGCTTTGCAGCTGGGGAGCAGGTGCCTGAGGGCGGGCGGGGTGGGGTGGCCGCGGCTGACTCTGTACCGGCTGAACCTCCCAGCGTCTCGCCTGCTGCAACAGGGACCCAGTGCGTCCAGAGAGCCGAGGGTGGCCCGGTGCCCTCGGCCCGCCTCACTGGGCAGGTCGGGGGGGCTCGTCTGAAGCCCTGGAGCCCCTTCCAGGCCAACCCGCGTCTGTGTCGCCCGCAGAAGTTGGGGGGACCCCACGGGTGGCGATGGGACTCCTGCTATCAACCACACCGCCAGCCTCGGCCCAAAGGGCGGGGATGGTGACGGGGACACGGGCCCTCCCGCCGGCTCCCGCAGGCTGCCCCGGAGCCGGAGCTGGGATGGTGGGAGCATGGGCGTCAACAGGACAGGAAGCCCCTGCTGCCCGGATGGTCCTGCCTGACCTCGAGGCACATGGGCCAGCGCCCGGGCCCTGCTCCTGCCGGCGGCTGGTGCTGCGGCCCCCACTGCCAGGACTTCGCAGAGACCCAGCTCTGCCCGGCTGCCAGGTCCCTGGGAGGCCAGCCCCGCTCTGGGCCTGGGCGGGCGGGTGGGCGGGCACCCGCTGTCAGCCTGTGTCCCAGCTCCGTGCTCGGCTGGGAGCAGGGGCCCAGCACCCTGGGTGGTGGTCAGGCTGTGCCGCCACTCAGGCAGGTCCCGGCTGCCTCCTCCCGCAGGCCAGCCCCGCACGGAGGCGGCAGTGGGTGGGGAAACGGGTTCTTTGTTAACTCGGGGAGCAAAGATGACGAGCTCTACTTGCAGGAAGTCATGGGCTCAATGCAAAGTGAAAACTCGGGGCCCTTGTAGAAGCTTCTGGGTTTCAAGATGGCAGAGCAGAGCGCTCACCACGCCTGGGGCCCTGCTGAGCCGGCCCAGGAGGGCCCTGGGGACCGGGAGCTCGGCAGCCGAGCCCCTCGCTGTGCCAGGCAGAGGAGGCAGGGGCCTGGGGCTGAGGGGCTGCCCGAGGCCTCCCTCCCGCCGAGCCCCGCGGTCAGCCCCGAGGCAGCATCTCAGGCGGGGCCGGTTCCCGTGGAAACCAGCTGGCTGCTGGCTGGTGTCCCCCAGCCCGAGGCTGGGCATCAGCTCAGCCCTCCGCCTCCGCCCCCCTGATCCGGTCTGGGCTGGTGGGCGGGGTGGGCATTGTGCCCCTTGGTCAGCAGGCAGCTGGCGCGTTTCCATTTGCGTCAGTGGCTTCACTACGGAATGCTCTGCCCGTGGCTCCAGAGCCTCCGTCTGAAAGGCCTGCGGGAGCGGGTGCCGGTCTCGGCTGCCTCCCCCGCTGACCGGCGTGGGAGGCTGGTCCCGGGGCCGCGGGTGCGCGCACCTCCTGTGTGCTCTTCAGCTAAGACCCTCCATGTGGCCCTGCCCCGAGGCCCCTGGCTCCTGTGAGCAGGGCCTCCTTCCGAGAGGTGCCCGAGGCTCAGGGCTGCCCCTGCGGCCGCCCCAGTGTGGGTGCTGCCAAGCCTGTGCCCTTTGCCACTTTGCAGGGGAATAACTGAATTTTGTATTTCTTGTTTTTTAAAAAAATATATAAATTTTTAATGATTTCAGAGAGGAAAGGAGAGGGAGAGATAGAGAAATATCAATGAGACAGAATTATTGATCGGCTGCCTCCTGCACGCCCCCTACTGGGGATGGAGCCCGCAACCCGGGCCTGTGCCCTGACCGGGAATCGAACCCTGGCCTCCTGGGTCACAGGTCGGTGCTCAGCCCCTGTGCCCCTCGGCTGGGCTCTTGCATCTCACCAGCGGGTGCCGCGGCCCAGGTGTTTCTCCAGAGCGAGTGGCTGACAGAGGAGCCTGGGGCTGGGGGTCTGCCCCCTCCTGGCGGGCACTGGCTGGCTCGGGCTCGGGCGGGGCGTGACCCTGGTAACCTGTGTGTCTCCCCACAGAACTGCCAGGCCTTCAGCAGCCTCAGCCTGAGCTCCGGGATGGAGGACCGCGCCCCCCACAGCCCCTTCGCCCTGCACGTCGGCAGCACCAGGGCCTGGGCCGCCCTGTTCTCGGCCGCCGGGCCCGGGGGCAGGACTCCCGCCGGGACCCCGGTGCCGGAGCCGCCCGCCCCCTCCGTCGACGCCCTGGCCTGCACGGAGGAGCTGTGCTGGGAGGAGGCGGAGGGCGGCGCCCCGGGGGACGGCTGCGGCCGGCGGGGGGAGCCCGCCCCCGCCTGGCGGGACCGAGGGGCGCAGAGCAGCCCCTGCTCCCTGGACGGCGAGCTGGACATCGAACAGATAGAGAATAACTGAGCGGCCGGCGGGCGGGCGCTGGAGGCGGAGCCCACTCCCGGCCTCAGAAGGCGTCCAGGAAGGAGCCGGGTCCCAGGAGCGCCCCTCCTCCCCGGAGGCTGCTGCCCGGAGACTCCGGCCCGGTGCAGAACAGAGCCGGGCCCTCACCGGCGCAGCCACGGCCTCGGGCCACAAGACACGGGCCCCACGCGTCCCAGGCGCCCGCCGGGCACTCCTCCCCGCTCTGCCTGGGGCCTGTGGGGCTCAGGCCCCCCGGGGTGTCCGGTCCCTCGGCCTCCAGCTCAGGTTCCTCTCCCTCAGTCTCACTCTGTGCCTTGCCTCCCGGCCCGCAGGCTGGGAAGGCTCAGGCGGCACCTCCTCCTGCAGCACAGACCGGAGCGGCCTTCCTTCCGAGTGAGAGACGGGCCAGGGAACAGCCTGGGTGCCCGGCAGAGGCCATCGGGTGGGGCAGACGTGGGCGCAAAGACAGACCCGCTCACCTCGCCGTGTGCGGCCAGCCTGGCCCGGGCTCCCGGCCACTCGGACCCGCCCCACGGGGTTGACGGGGGCAGCTGTTCCCCATGCCGCCATCACTGGGGCGGCTTAGCTGATCAGGATCGGAGAGATGGCACCGTGGGAGGGCAGCCTCTTGGAAACGCCCTCAGGAGGCGGGAGGGCGAGTAGGTGCCCACGCCAGGCCCGTGTCCAGGTCAGGGTGCGGTGTCGCTGGCCGCTCTGGGGCCTGGCTGAGGCCGGCACAGCCCCCTGTGGGATTCCAGGCGCCTGCTCAGGGTGGGGGGCATTCCCTGGGGCTGTAACCAGGGCGCCCCGTCCACCAGGGGCGGAGCCCGCCGCTCGGCGGTGGGAGGGGAGGGTGCTCATTGCCACCTCCTTGCCGCAGCCCTGCCCCGGGCACAGAGCTCCAGGCACACGCACACCCCCTGCTCCTTCCCTCCCGCCCCCCGCTCCTCGAACCCTGCTCCTTGCCCTGACAGCCCTGGTGACGGCGAGGAGCCTGCCCCCTGAGACTTCACCCCGCCGCCCAGCTCGGCCAGCTGCAGACGACCGTGTGGCTGTTGGCATCGGTCCTTAACGCCCTGGCACCTCCGCACAGCCACCGGGTGGGCTTGGGAGCCCTGGCTCCTCTTCCCGCAGCTAAGAGCAGCCGGTGCGGGCGCCCCGGGTTCCTGGTGGGATCAGGCAGGGCCTCCCCCACAGCTCACCGCCCCGAGGACAGGCCCCGGAGCCCCACACCCTCAGTTTCCATCGGAAGAGGTGGCGCAGGCCCGGGCGAACAGGCGGCTTTTCAGCAAATGGCCGGGACGCTGGCAGAGCCCGGCCGTGGCCGTGGTGCTGGGACCCGGCTGGAGCATGATGGGGGGCGGGCTGGGGGATGGGGAGGGGCGCATCCCTCGGGGCGTGGAGACCAGAGCTGGAGGCTCAGGGTCGATGAGCACATCTCGCCCGTCCCCTCCAGGCGGGTGTGGGCGCCCCTGTTCTCGGCGGAAACCCACGAAGGCTGGGCCGCGGTCAGGTCACCGGAAGGCACCTGCCTTAGAGACCACGTGCTCCGTGTCCTCCCAGCCGGTGGGAGGCAGGGCTGGGCCCACCGCTCGAAGGCAGTCCCTCCTGGGAAGGAGAAGCCCGTCTCCCCGTCCACACAGCAGGCGCCCACGGCGAGGGGGCGGGGGCTGAGCCGGGCTGGGCAGCGGCCCCTGGTGCCGCTCCTGGGCCGGAGGAGGGGCCATGTCGGGGTGGGGGCTGTCTCAGGGCTGCAGTGCAGGTGACCTCAGAGCCCTCCTCCCCCGTGCCCCGCAGTCCGCCCGCCAGGGGGCTGCTGGGAAGAGGGACTCCAGGCCCGGCAGGCTGGCCCTCTCCCGGCTCCTGGGCCCTTGGGACTGTGCTGCTCAGAAGCTCCTGGCCACACCCACACCGCAGCCGCTTGGGGAGGGATGGCCCTGTCCCTTCTCAGAGGAGACAGCCTTGGGCTGGTTGTGTATTTGGTTGGAGAGGGCAGGCTTCTAGAAGGTTCTGCACCTGCCCGGAGAGGCCCGTCTGCCCCCCCCCCTCTGGTCCTGGAGGGAGGCCCCGCTGACCTCGCCCCGCCCGAGCCTCCCTCGGCCGATGCCCATGGCCGCCTGCTCCGCGGGCACAGGGAGGAGGGCGGCTGCCGGGCCTGCGGGACAGAGCCGGGTTCTGGGGGGCGGCGGGTGGGGAGAGGCCCCTCTCACCCAGAGCAGCGCCCGCCCCAGCCGCCGGGCTCACGGCCGGCCTGGTGAACCTGCCCGCCCGGCCCGGCGGGCGCCGCCGGCCTCACGTTTACATGCCGCCATCTCTTGCCTTACTCCCGTGGCCGGCCCACGGCACACAGGGCCTGGCCACCGAGCTTCTGACCACACACACTTCCGCCCTCAGAAAGCCTTACTTTTCAACAAGATTTTTGTAGCAGGAAAGTTTCGTGGATTTGTATCCGGAGGAAAATGCCAATAGAGAAGCCACGTGATCAAACCAAACCGACGTCCGAATGGGTGTCCCTGCGCAGAGCGCGTGGCTCCCGCCCTTGGGTGCTGCCCAGGGGCCCAGGGCTGCCGTCCCAGCAGCCTTCCTGGCACCGACCCCCCCCCAGCCCCTCCCGGGAGGCCCTGCGCCTCTGCCTCTGCTCAGGGTCACGGCGTGCCCGCTGGCCTTGGGGCCGGTCGCCCGGTGATGACCGCTCCGGCTGTGGCCCGGGCGCGAGCAGCCCCTGCCGACGCCGGGCCGTGGGTGCGGCCCCCGGACCGCCTCTGCTGGTCACACAGCTGCTCGAACCCCTCCCATGGTGCCAGCGGAAGACCAGGCCTCTTGGAAGAACAGGATGAGAGTCCCACATGGGCTGGGGCCTGACCCTCCGGCACAGCCTGCGGCAAATTGTGCTGCGAGGGGGGCGGGGGGTGTCCTGGGGCTCGGTGACAGGGTGGCCTGTTTCTGGGGATGGGCGTGTTTTCCGGAAACTCCAGGGAGGGTGGCGGCCTGAGTGGGCGGTGGGTCAGGCCCCTGCCCGGCAGAGCGCCGTGTGCCCAGGCGTGGGGTCTGGCCACCCCCGCCCCCAGCTGCTCCCCATCCCCATGGGCCATGCTGCCTTGCACTAGAGCCCTCTAGTCTCAGGAATTCGCTTGTTACTTTTACTGTGTAAATAAAGCTTCCTGGTTTAATGGCCACCGCAGAGCTGTCCGGCTGGTTTCTGTTGGGCGTGGCTAACGGGCGGCCCCAGGGGCGGGGCAGGGCCTGGACCCGTCACCGGAGCCTCGGGGTCCGTCTGTGAGGTGCGGAGGCTGGATGCGGGGCTGGGGCTGCGCGAGGGCCCAGGGGGAGATGTGGCCAGGGCCATGGCTGAGGCCCAGGCCGTGTGCGTGTGCGTGTGCGGGATAGAGAGGCGGAGGGCTCAGCTCCTCACCCCACTGGGAGCCAGGACGCCCACGGCAGTCGTGGAGACACCCCGTCTGTGACCTCCAAGTCCAGATGTGGGGGCCCGCCTTTCAGAGCCCCCGAGAGCATCGATCGGCCCCGGTGCCAAGAGCCAGGCCCCGGGGTGGATCCTGCGTCACCGTGCTGCCGACGGCCGGCCCGGCCCAGAGCCCTGCGGCCACCTGCCACCGGGTCGCCAAGGAGTTGGCCCCGGAGGACGGTGGCTCACCGCCCTGCTGGGCGCCCAGCGGGGCCGAGGGGCTCGGGCACTGTGCTGCCCTCCAGGTCGGGGCGTGGCTGACTCCCCGTGGAGAGCTCGCCTCACTGCACAGCCCACAGGCCTGTGCCTAGGACACGGAGGTCCTGGGGGGGCCTCGGTTTCCCTATCTGTGAATGAAAGGGCTGGGCAGGGGAGGAGTCCCAGGGCCGGCCCTCAGCTGTTTGTGATTCAAGCCCCCGCCCCCCTCTGCCCAGGCAGCCGAAGCCCAGGTCGCCACAGGCTGGGGTTTATTTCTGGGTAGTGTCCTGCACACAGTGGGCGCTGTGGCTCCAGGAAGCGCCTCTGCCCGCAGCCCGCCCAGCGTTCACGTTAAGGCCACTCAGTCCTGTGGGGGGAGGGGGTGGTGTTGGGCCGGGCGGTGCCCGGAGGTGGCTTGGTTGGGGCTGCACTGGCCAAGGGAAGGCCGTGCCCTCCAGGCTCCGAGGTGAAAGGCCAGGAAGGTGGGTGACGAGGCCGGGACCTGCCTGGGCCCACGTGGAGGAGCATCCACAGCACCGGTGCCCAGAGAGCATGTGCACGCGGTGCCCGTGTCCGGTGCCCGGAGAGCATGTGCACGCGGTGCCTGTGTTCCTGGTGCCCGGAGAGCATGTGCACGCGGTGCCTGTGTTCCCGGTGCCCAGAGAGCACTGCACTCGGTGCCTGTGTTCCCGGTGCCCGGAGAGCACTGCACGCGGTGCCTGTGTTCCCGGTGCCTGTGTTCCGGTCCCGGCCCACCCAGGGTTTCTTCTCAGGAGGCCTAGCCCACTGCCCTGCTCCACCGGCCGCGGGCAGGGAGAGGCCACCGGGAGGGAGGGGAAGGGCCCCTCGCCGGCCTTTGGAGGGGAGGGCAGAGCCGGGGGCGGGGGCGGGGCCTTCCCAGAGCCGTCACTGGTCCGCGTGCTGCAGCAGCAGGTCCACGGCCTCCGCCAGGTTGTCCACGTACCCGTCAGCCTTCACCTCAGGGTGGTGCTCGTCGCTGGGCCTGGGGAGGGGCAGGGGCCGTCCGTCAGGCCACGTGGGGCCCAGGTGGCGGTGCCCCAGAGGCCAGGGCTCATAGCAGAACAGAACCTCCCCCTGAAAACACCCCGGCCCCATTCATCACCACGCCCCCGGCACCTGCCCCAGGACCCCCTCCCCGGCCCCTCCAGGGCCCTCAGGCCAGCTTTACTGTCCCCAAAGGAACTCAGCCCCCAGGGGGCACCTTGTGGCCCTGGCCAGTTTGGCTCAGTGGATAGAGCCTGGGTCTGCAGACTGAAGGGGCCCGGGTTCGATTCCGGTCAGGGCACAGTCCCAGGAGGCAGGCTCAATCCCGAGTAGGGGATGTGCAGGAGGCAGCAGATCCATGATTCTCTCTCATCATTGATGTTTCTCTTTCCCTCCCTTCCTCTTTCTGAAATCAATAAAAATGTGTTTTTTGTTGTTGTTTTTTAAAGGCACATTGTGATGAGACTCTGGCCAGCCCCCTCTGTGCACGGTACTAGCCCATCAGCATACGTGGCTCATCGTGTTTAATTACGTGTCATTTAAACCCGAGGATCCAGTAAAAGGATTGTGTTTGCCAGCACAGGAAATCGTGGGCTTTCTGTCTTCATTGCAGGAGGCTGCTCCGGGCTCGGGGGACCCGTGGGTGGAGCTCCTCGCCTTCCCTGCCCGCCCCGAAGGCCCAAAGCCCCCTCCATGCTGGTCTGTGGCCCGTGGGCCTCCATCCCGCACACGAGGGGGCTGGACCCCGAAACCCAGCAGTGGTGCGCCCTGCAGTGGGCGCAGAGCAGGGGGGCCTGTGTGGCCTGGGGGTGGGTGGGCCACACGCTGCCCCCCAGGACGAGGGTCAGCCACGCCTGGCCCATGTGTGCGCACAGCCCTGGGGCGGGCATCCGACACATCCACGCCAGATGAGGACACGGACAGGAACAGGAACACGGACAGACACGGACAGGGGGCTGGCACCTGCCTGGTCAGGGCAGGGCGTGTGGAGCCTGGGCTCATCTTAGCGGCCCTTCCCTCGGTGCATGGGACACGGTCTCCACCTGGAGCCCCGTGTGCTGTGGCTTCGGCCGGGCCCAGAGGCCCGAGGCGGGCACCCTCCCGCTGCAGCTCCAGGGCGGGGCGGCCGAGGTGCTGGCCGTGCAGTGAGCCAGGCGTGGTGTTGGTGGAAAACCCACGAGATGAGGGAGGCACCGTCACACGGACCCCCACGAGGTGCTGAGAGCCACGTGGCCACCCCCCGCCTCCCGGTCTGGGCCTCCCGGCGGCCAGGGCCCAGGCCAGGCCTGACGAGGAGGGACTTCCCGTCGACGCGGCCCGCCCACCGCTCTGCCGGAGGGAGGAACCGGCCTGTTCACCGCAGGTTCCAGCCGGTGGCGCCCTGTCAGCCAGAACCGACCGCAGCGCCAGCTGCTTCCTGCACGGGCACCTGGGCGGGGCGGGCACAGGCGGCGGCCAAAACTGTGGGTGTGCCACGTGCCGCCCACGGTGTGCGGCGTCCCCGGAGACCCTCACCCTGACAGAGGCTCTCTGAGTCCCCGCCCGCTGCAGCCTGCCCCTGCCTCTGCCCCGTTCACAGGCGGGAGGCCCAGGCGGGTGCCGGGCACAGCGACTCCACAAGCAGAAGCTGGGAAGGTCCAGCACGCCCCAGCGATCAGGAGCGGCAGCGCCCCTCGGATGGGCTGGCGGCCTCTGGGTGCCCCCTTCCCCTGTGGTCCCCCTCATCCGTCACCCACTGGTTCCTGCTGCCCGCCCCAGAGCACAGCTGCCCCTCCCCAGAAGCCCGTCCTGGCACATAACCCCCACCTCCCCCCAGGGCGTGCCCGCCCTGAGCCCCGTCCCTCTACCGCGCCGTCTGCTTAGCTGTGCCCCCCAGGGGGGGTGATCCTGAGGTCTGGGGGCGTGCGTGGCCTTCCTGCCACGTGGCCTGGCGGAGGGGCCTCACCATCGTGACGTGGGACACGGCCACGCCAAGCCCGGTTCCCTCAGCCTCGAGGGGAGCAGAGCCTCTGGGCTGCGGGGGAGTCGGGGAGATGGTACGGCGGGCACAGCGTGGCCTAGGAGGGATGGGTGGCGGGTGCTGGGCGAGGGGGGGGAGGGGAGGGGTGGCACCAGTGTCCCACACTGTGTGTGTGTGTGTCTGCCTGAAGGTGCACTTCCTCCCTGAGCCGCAGGGGGCGCTGCCCACGGTGCAGAGGCTGCTGGGGCTCCGCAGAGCGCCCTGAAGCCAGGAAGGCCCCTCAGAGGGGAGCGCTGGGAGAGGATCCTGCTTCCTGCGGGGAGAGGGCCCTCGGGCCGCCTGGGCCTCCGATCGTGGAGCACGGCGCTGCCGGCCCTCCCTGAGCCGCTGTGGGACCTGCTCTGCGTGGGTGAGGATGCAGGCCTGGCAGGGGCTGCCCCCGGGACCCCCCTGGGCCCCGACCAGGTGGGTGGGTGCTGGGTCTCCTGCAGGATGGCCCCGCCCTCAGCCGAGCGTCACTGGGGCCTCCCATGGGACAGGCCGCTGTTCGGATGAGGCCCCGGAGCGTGGGCCTGGGCTGCCACGTCACACCCGGGCCAGCAGGAGGCCTCTCGGCTCCGATGGCGCATCCTGAGCGCGAGGAAGACCCTGGCTGTCCTCACAGCCCTCGCTGCCAGCGCGGGCCCGCCCCCATGGGGAGGGGCACGTACACACAGGACAACTCACCAAGCCAGGCCGTGTGAGCCCTACAGGCAGGCCCGGCCGCGGGCTCAGTGCTGAGCATCCACCCAGGAACCAGGGGGTCGGTTCAGTTCCCAGTCAGGGCTCCATCCCCAGTGGGGGGCGGGCAGGAGGAGCTGGTCCCTGATTCTCTCTTCAGGGATGTTTCTCTGTCTTTCTCTTCCCTCCCCCACCCTTCCATCTCTGACATCAACAGAAGTAGATTTTTAAATCTCACAGGCCAATGAGGGACTCCGACAGGGACCCGTCTGGACGTCCCAGCATTCCCCGTGGGCGGGCGCCACGGCTCCCTGGCAGCCAGGGGCACCTCCCTGCCCAGGCCTCAGCCCTGGCTCGCTCTGCAGCCCCAGCCCCGAGGTGCTCGCCTACCCTCACCCCCCCATTTCCTCTGCCCTGGGGGGCGGGGGGGGGGGAGAACACCGTGATTGGAGGAGTGAGCCCTGTGCAGTGATTTGGAAAGAATGACGGTGCGCGGCCAGGATGGCGGAGAGCTTTCCTGAAAGGCCTTGGCCTGGAAACATTAAGTCAAACAACCGGCATTGGCAGCGCGGCTCCCGGCACAGCCAGCCCGGCGGCCAGCACACCGTGGGCCTGGGATAACGCCGCCTTCATGCCGAGCCGGAGCACTGCCAGGGGCTGCGGACCAGGGGGCGTGGCTCAGTGGTTGAGCGTTGACCTATGAACTAGGAGGTCAGGGTTCAATTCCCTGCCAGGGCACAGGCTGTCTCAGCACCGTGGCCACCCTGGGTGCAGCGAGCGCTCCCTGTAACCTCTCCCCCGCAGCCAGGAGACTCACTCACACCGACGGCCCCCCCCCCCCCCACGTCTGTCTTTGCGCAAAAACCCACGAGGGACCATCCCGGCTGAATAAACGTGGCAGGATGAGCTGGAGCCCTGCCCTGGCTGGTGTGGCTCAGTGGATGGAGCATCAGCCTGCAGACTTGAAGGATCGGGTTCGATTCTGGTCAAGGGCATGCACCTGAGTTGCAGGCTGTGTGGGAAGCAGCCAATCGATGTGTCTCTCTCACATGGATGCTTCTTTCTCCCCCCTCCCCTCTCTCCTTTCCACTCTCTCTGAAAAGGAACAGTATCTCCACTAGCTCCCCCCTCCCCGCCCAGTGCGGTGTCCTCGCCACTCCCCTCTTCCCGTCTCTCCGCTCTGCTCTCCGGGGCACAGACTGCGCGGCCTGACCTGCGGGCACCCCTCTTCCAGCTGGGGGCGTGATCCCCCTCGCCGAGGTGGGGCTGTGGCAGGGCCGCCCGTGCCGGCTGGGGGAAACGCGGAGGGAGGCGGCAGCTGCGTCTTTATTTATAATCCCGGCGCCCAGGCCCCGAGAGGTCGGGAGAAGAATGAGGCCGGGACGTTTTCCCAAACATCCTCCAGGCTCTGGCAGGAGCGGCCCCGGGGCGGAGAGCGGCTGTGTCCGTCAGAGGCGCTGCCAGGCCCCGCGCGGCGGCAGAGGAAACGCGGAACACGTGCGGGACCAGGGCCCCCCAGCCACACGTCCCATGTTCGCCGGCGTGGGAGCGGGCAGCGCGGTGAGTGCCGGCCGGCCCGGGACGCCCTCCCTCGGACCCGGGACAGTGGGCACGGCCGGGGCAGGGGAGGGAACGGGCGGCCCTGCAGGGGCATCAGGGCAGGGAGTTTGGCTGTGCCTCCCGCTCCATACGCTTTTGTCATTGTCTGTCGTCAGTACTGGCTTCAGGCTGAGTCTGTGGAGCCCGGGCCCCCGAATCCCCTGGCCATCCGGTCGCCAAGCGCCCTCCCCCCGGGAGGGAGGGGCAGCGTCAGAGGCCCGGGCGGCCTCACCCCCAGCCCGGAGGCCGGAGGCCGGAATGGAGGGTACGCGGTGATGGCGAGTTCCCGTGAATGTTAATTAGGCGCCTAATGAGCGGTGCCCGCCGAGCTGTGGGTCAGACCAGGTTTGTGTGTAATCACCCTAACGGGCATATGGATCGCAATTACGCTCCAATTAAACCCCAGAGTATCGCATGTTAATCAGCCGGGCCTCCTCCCGCTCCGGCCGCTCCTGCGGCTCCGGGCACCAGCGGGCGGGCGAAGGCACACGGTCTCGTGGTTCAGAGGACGAGGCCGCGCATCCCCCCGCGCCCGCCCGCCCGCGCTGCCCGTGAGGAGCCCTGGGCCCTCATCGCCTCTGACCCCGCCCCCAGCAGCCCCGCGTCTCTCCTGTCTCCGGCGGGAGGTGGTGAATATTAACCCCCTCCGCGTGGGGCCCGCGGGGCGGGGCAGAGGGTGCTGGGAACCCCGATGGCTGCAGGAGGGCTGCGGCCGCAGAGGGTCCGAGAGGAACTGAGAGGCAGCCCAGAGGGGCTGGGGGAGGCGGGAGGTGCCGGAGGTGGGGGGCTGCTTGCTGAGAGGAGAGGCGTCTCCGAGCAGAGGGAGTGGGAGCCCCCGCCAAGGGCGGCTCAGTGAGGCTGGGAGGCCGTCCACCTGCCTCAGTCCCGCAGAGCGACGCCCTCGGCACCAGGCCGGCACCCGGTGTCCCCACGCCTCACTGGCCGCACCACGCGAGGTGGCGGCGGGGGTGGGGGGGCGGTGAGCCTGGGAGGCTGGACCACCGGCCCTCAGCGGCGGGACGACAGGGCCAGGCCGGCCTGGCTGGGACCTGGCCGGGGCGCCCTCTAGTGGCCCCAGCAGAGAGCGGGGTGGGTAAGGCCCCTAAGGTCCAGGGAGAGGAAGGAGGCGAGGGGCAGGACTGCCGGGCAGGGAGGGGACGGGGTGGAGGAGCACTGGGGAAACCCTGCTCTCCTGAGGTTGTAAGTTGGGGGGCGGGGGCTCAGGGAATCACCAGGCCGAGCGAACAGCAATGGCTGACGGTCAGCCCTGCCCCAGAGGTTCCGGTCTCTGCGCACGCTCACAAACGCGGGGAGCGGCCCCTCTTGGGGGGGGGGGGGGGCGGTAAGGATGGGGGCAGAGGCAGTGCCAGCCTCAGCGCGACCCGGGGTCTGCCCCGGGCTCGGCCCCGCTGGCTGCTTCCCTGGGCAGTTACCGGGGTCACAGGTCACGCCTGTGCTTCTCAGCTCGTGTCGCCGGCCGCGGCCTCGGCTTCTGGGACGTCCCGGCCGCGCTGGCCTCTCGGTCACATGCCCGTCACCGAGCCAGCCGCTCCCTGTGCCCCCGCCCGGCCTTGGCCTGGTGTGTGCCCGCAGCCCTGCCCCTGGAGCCAACAGCCCCGATCTCAGAGGCCCCCCCGGCGGCCTGACGCCCTCGGGGCCTCGGCAGAGCCCAGCGGCCAGGCCGGGCGGTGAGGCCGTCCGCGGTGCACTCGGCGAGCGAGGCGTCCCTCACCCCTCCGCCCGCTGTGGCCGGTGCTGCTCGGCCCAGCTGCTCCCACAGCAGGCGGAGGAGCGGCTGCAGAGCTGTGACCTCCGGGCCGCACTGGCACCTCCCCCCTCGGCCCTGCGGTGGAGTCAGTGACCGACCAGGGGTGTCTGGGCTGCACCCCGCTCAGGCCCCAGGTGCCCTCCTTGGGTGTGCGTGTATGTGTGTGTGTGCGTGTGTGTGTATGAGTGTGAGCGCGTGTATGTATGTGTGTATGAGTGTGTGTGTATGAGTATGTGAGCGTGTGTATGTGTATGTGTGTGCGTGTGTATGTGTGTCTGTGTGCGCGTGTATGTATGAGTGTGTGTATGTGTGTGCGTACGAGTGTGTGTATGAGTATGTGAGTGTGTGTATGTGTGTGCGTGTATGAGTGAGCGCGTGTATGTATGTACGAGTGTGTGTGTGTGTGTGTGCGTGTGTGTGTATGAGTGTGAGCGTGTGTATGTATGTATGAGTGTGTGTATGTGTGTGCGTATGAGTGTGTGAGTATGTGAGCGTGTGTATGTATGAGTGAGCGCGTGTATGTATGTGCGTATGAGTATGTGTGTATGTGTGTGCGTACATGAGTGTGTGTATGAGTGTGTGTATGTGAGCGTGTGTATGTGTATGTGTGTCTGTGTGCGCGTGTATGTATGACTGTGTGTATGTGTGCGTGTGTCTGTATGAGTGTGTATGTGTATGTGTGTGCGTGTATAAGTGTGTGTGTCTGTGTGTGTCTGTGTGGGGGAGTAGGGAGGGGGTCTGTGCCGTCTGCGGGCCCCCGGGTCCCTCTGGCCGATGAGCGGCCTGGCCCGGCCGGCTGCCTCACTGAGTGGGGGCGGGGAGATGGGCACCAGGTGACTCGCCTCCCCAGCCGCCCCTGGAAGGAGGTTCCGTTCCTTCCGAGCAGAACCCGGAGCCTCTCACAGGCGGACGTCACGGAACCGGGCAGGGCTGAGCTCGGGCGGCAGCTGTCGGGGCAGCCCGTCAGGAGCCCACTGTGGAGTCTCCCCACCCTCACCTTCCAGCCCGGCGCAAGGCGGCTGGGACCCGGAGCCAGCCCACCGGCCGCCCTGCTGGGTGGAGGCCCCCGTCCCAAAGCCCCGGACGGGCAGGAAGGCAGTGCAGCCGGCCTCGGCCTGGGGCCTGAGACCAGCAGTGCCCACGTGGGAAGGAGCCCTCTATCTGGCGGACAGGAACCCACAGGGGGGCGCGGGGCAGCCGCGGGCTCACCTGAACTTGCCGGTCCGCACCTGCAGCGCCCGCATCCCGCACCGCTGCGCCCCGCCGACGTCACCCACGATGTCGTCGCCGACCATGACGGCCTGCCACGGAAGCCACAGCCACAGAAGCCACGTCAGCGGTGCTGGGCCTCAGCTGACATCACCAACCACGGGATCTGACGGCTAAGACCACCACAGCCTGGCTGCATGGCTCAGGGCTGAGTGTCCACCTGGGAGCCAGGAGGCCAGGGCTCCATTCGGTCAGGGCCCAGGCCCGGGGTGCGGGCTCCGTCCCCAGTGGGGGGCGTGCGGGAGGCAGCCGAGCCGTGATTCCCTCTCATTATTGATCTCTCCCTCCCTCTCTGAAACCAATTTAAAAAAAGAAGTCCTCCCCCTCACAGGGACACCTGGGCCGGGCCAGCAGGGAGGACTCTGGTGGAGGAGCCGCAGCTGGGCTTCTGCCTGATGGTCCCACGCCCAGGCCTGCAGGGTGCGGAGCCTGCTGGGTGAGGGACCTGCGGGGTGGGGGCCGGGGCCTGTGGGTGTGGGGCCTGGGGGGTGAGGGACCTGCGAGGTGTGGGGTGTGAGCCTGTGGGTGTGGGGCCTGGGGGGTGAGGGACCTGCGGGGTGTGGAGTGGGGCCTGCGGGGTGGGGGTGGGGGGTGCGGAGTGTGGGGTGGGGGCCTGCCGAGCGTGGGCCCGTGTGGTGTGGGGTGGGGGCCTGCAGGTGTGGGGCCTGGGGGGGTGAGGGACCTGTGGGGTGTGTAGTGGGGGCCTGCGGGATGGGGGGTGCAGGGTGTGGGGTGTGGGCCTGCGGGGTGGGGGCCTGCCGAGCGTGGGCCTGTGGGGTGTGGGGCCTGGGGGGTGAGGGACCTGCGGGGTGTGGAGTGGGGCCTGCGGGGTGGGGGCCTGCCGAGCGTGGGCCTGTGGGGTGTGGGGTGTGGGGTGTGGGGTGCGGGGTGGGGGCCTGCCGGTGCCGGCCGTGGTGCTGGCTGACAGCAATGTGCAGCGCGGGCAGCGATGCCCGTCTGGCCGGCCTGCCGCCGAGCAGCGGGTCCCTGGGGACGCACAGCGCGCGGCGGTGAAGGGCAATGATCGCGCGTGCGGAGCAGCAATTACTGCCCGACGGCTGGGGATTAGGAAATCGTTGGTGAGGAGATGGGGGTCAGGAGGTGTGCTGTCGGGGGAAATAAGCCGGCTGTCAGCGCCGCCTCCGCCTCAGCCTGGGAGGGGGGCCGGGCCGGTGCGGGCGGCGGGCCACGGCCCAGCAGCCGTTCGGATTTGGGCTCAGAGAGCAGGTTCCCCCCTTCCTGAGCGTGGGCCCCCGCGGCCTCGGCCCTGCTGTGCGGCTGGCGGCCTGCTGGTGCTGATGGGCTGCCGGGAACCCCCTGAACCCACGCACACAGGCCTGGCTCCCGGGAGGAGCCCCGGTCACCCCGTCACCCCCACACCGGCGGCCTCAGTGCGAGGAGAGCCGGCACAGCGGCGCGGGGCCGCCATGACGAGGGGGACAGCCTGCGGGGGCCGTGCCTGCAGCGGGGAGGTGGGAACGAGCAGCGGAAAGACGATGCTCCTAAGCGCCTCTCCCTCCTCCACCCGGAGGCGCTGGTGGCCGCGGCCTGAGAACCGGGGACAGGACCCCAGGGACTCCGTGCTGGACTCTGTGGGCCCCCACGGTGGGCGTCCCCCGGGCGTTCTGCTGGCGATGCCTGGAGACACTGCGGGCCACAGCGGGGCATCCTACGGGGCCAGACCCCGCGCCCGGGAGCCCCCGGCCCCGTGCCCAGCGCCCTCAGGCGGAGAGGCAGGTGCCCGGGGCCAGGGAAGAGCTCCCCGCAGACACACTGACACCCCTGTGCTCGCACCCGGTCAGGGGACCGGCGTGCTCTCCTCTGGGGGAGAGGTTACAGGATCCACTCGGCGCTCTGAGGAGTAAGAAGCCGCAGGACACGGCCATTATCGGGGTGTCCTCCGTGAGCTCACCGACTCTGGTCACAACAGAGAAGCAGCAGAGAGGCCGGAGGGACGGAGGACAGGGCTGAAGGTGGCTCAGGCTCCGGCCTCGGGGGCTGCTGGCACCCACAAAGGGACCTGGGATGGCCCCCCCAGAGCAGTCATTGCAAAGCTGAGCCGGCTCTGACCCGGCTTCGAGGGCCCGCCACCAACACCCAGAGCACAGAGGGCGGAGGGCACCCGAGGGCACGGGCACACCAGCTTCTCCCACACCCTCCGGAGGGGAACAGGGAGGCGCGGGGCTGGGAAGGGACGGATGGAAAAGCACCAGCCTGGGCCAGTGCGGTTCAGTGGATAGAGCGCCCTGCCTGGGCCTGTGGACTGAAGGGTCCTGGGTTCCATGCCAGTCAGGGGCACGTATCCCCATGGCAGGGTGCGTGCGGGAGGCACCCACGGATGTGCCTCTTTCCCATCGACGTTTCCCTCTGTCTCCCCCCCCCCCTCCACTCTTTAAAAATCAATGAAAAAATATCCTCCGGGAGGATTAGGGGGAAAAAAGAATCACCTGCCCCATCGCAGTGCAAGGGCCTCCTGTGACCCCGGATTCAAACACCTGAGGCAGCACAGCCCTGAGCGGCTGGGACCCAGGGCGATGGGCGGCGGGGAGGCTGGGTGCCCGTGGCATCTGGGCGCGGCACGGGCGTCACCTGTGCTTCCGTAAGGAGCGCCCCGCCCTGTGGAGACTCGGAGGCACTGCAGCTGACGCGGCACCGTTTCCGGGACTCGGTTCAGAGGATGTTGGGGGGGGGGGGGCAGATGAACCCCGAGGCGGCTTTCCGGAACGGGCTCTGGCCGCCGGACGCAGGGCAAGCGGACCCACAGGACCCGCGACCAGGGGAAGGGCTGTCACTCGTGAGATACGACCAGCACGGCGAGCTGCGTGCGTGGGAGCAAATAGGCAAGGGAAGAAGGGAGAGCTCGTCCTCACGGTAAAGCCCGTCAGGGGCTGAGCATCGACCTATGAGCCAGGAGGTCAGGGTTCGATTCCTGGTCGGGGCACAGGCCCGGGTTGTGGGCTCCATCCCCAGTGGGGGGCGTGCAGGAGGCAGCCGATCCGTGATTCTCTCTCACTACTGATGTTTCTCTCTCTCTCCTTCCCCCTTCCTCTCTTTAAAAATCCATTAGCACATTTTTTAAAGCTGTGGGTGGGGCGGCTGACAGCGGCCCCAGAGGTCTGGGTTAACTGCCGTCGTGCGTCATGATCGCTGTGACGGCCGTGTGACACAGCACGGGAGCTGGCTCAGGGCACAGGACATTCCTCGCGAATGTGACATGGTTTCCCAACGGACGTGAGAAACAGTTCTGAAAGGGGCTCTGTGAGTCGGTCATCACGGGAGCTCAGTGATGGGACACGGGGTTCGTGACGCACCGACAGCTGAAACGATTCTCGGTGGAAGTTAAACAGGTTTAAGAGGCGAAAGCCACACCCAGGGAAGGCAGGACCTCGTTTGGATTTGATGGAAAAACACATCGACACCAGAGCGCGTTTCTGAGGCGGTCAGGAGCCCTACGTGCGGACTGGAGTCACGAAAAGGCGGATGGCTGCCGGCCGGCGTGGCTCAGTGGGGAGCGCGGCCCAGGAACCAGGAGGTTCAGGCCCGGGTTGTGGGCTCGGTCCCCAGTGTGGGCCGTGCAGGAGGCAGCCGGTCCATGATTCTCTCTCATCCATCATGGATGTGTCTCCCTCTCCCTCTCCCTTCCTCTCTGACGTTAATAAAAAATATATTTAACAAACAAACAATAAACAAACACTCGGCGGACTTCCTTTGCTGCCTCTTCCCGTTCCCAGCGGAGTCAGCTCTCGTGGGGCGGGGTCCGCGTGGGGCTGCCCGGCCCGCGGCCCACGAGGCTGCCTGAGCCCAGCCCCGCGGCTGGCGAGGTCCCTCCCGGCACCCGCTCCCCAAGGCGACCTACCTGGTGGGCCTCCACGCCCAGCTCCCGCAGCGCCGACCGGAAGAACTCGGGCGAGGGCTTGCCCACCACCTGGGCCTGGATGCCGCAGGCGTACTGCGGAGAGAGGGCGCGTGGGCGTGGGCGTGGGCGTGGGCAGGCCGGACGGCGGGGAGGGCCCCTCCGGGAACCGGGGAGACGGCCCTGTGGGCCAAGGGTCTCGGGGGCAGGACATGTGAGTCCCAGACACGTGACAGACACGAGTGGATGGCGCACGTCGGGCGGCCTGGGACGCCCCGAGCCTGGGGGAGGCGGCCATCTTGGGCATCCCATGGGCACCTGACCGGGTTCTCACCTGTATTCCTGCTCCCCCCCCCCCCCGTGCCCGCCCTGCTGTCACGGCTCCCCCACGTCCCGTCTGTCCCTCCCCCACGTCCCGTCTGTCCCTCCCCCACGGACAGCAGGGCCAGCGTCCGGTGCGGGCGGCGGTGAGGGGAGCTGGCCGGGGCGGGAGGCTAGGCCGGGCCAGCGGGCCAGGCGTTGGGCGGAGGATGCTGGGAGCCCTGCCTGGGCCTGGCCTTCAAAGGGGGGGGTACAGGGCGGGGCGGTCAGGCTGCAGGTGCCCAGGGTGGGGAGTGAGGATGGTCCCACGGATAGTGCCCAGGAGGAGGCGCAGTGGGCACGCTGGGAGGGCCAGGGTCAGCACCGGGCATGGAGAGAGGGCAGGAGCGCTCTGCAACGCAGGGGAGCCCAGCATGAAGCCCCAACTAGGGGGCCACTGACGCCTCCTCCAGAAAGTCTGGAGGGCGAGGAGGGCTGGCAGTACCTCGAGCGCCTTCATGTAGCAGCCAACGTCCAGCATCAGGCCCGAGCTCTGCTTGTAGTAGCGCCTGGGAGAGGAGGGGACGGGTGAGCGATGCCCGGCCCGTCCGGAGGGCCTGGGGCGAGGGCCAGGCAGGAGCCCAGCTGAGAGTGGCCGGTGGTCACCACCCCGGCCAGCGGCGCTCGGTCAGAACGGCCCGCTGCCCGCTTTGTGGGGACTCAGCCACGGTGACTGACGGGGACCGAGGGCAGACGGGCCAGCTGCCGACAGCAGGCCCCGGCCCGGGGGAGGACAGCAGGCCCAGAGCAGGTGCGAGCCCCTGATTGCTGATCGTTAACCCCAGCTGCTGGGGAGGGAGAAACGCCCTCAGCTCCGGGGCCGGCCGCCTGCCCCGTGAGCCCGGTCAGAGGCCTGCGGGGTCCGTGTCACCATCCCCCCGTGTCCCCGTCCCCCGTGTCCCCGTGTCCCCGTCCCCCCGTCCCCCCATGTCCCCGTCCCCCCGTCCCTCCGTTCCCCGTCCCTCCGTTCCCTGTCCCCCCGTGTCCCCGTCCCCCGTCCCCCCGTGTCCCTGTCCCTCCGTTCCCCGTCCCTCCGTTCCCCGTCCCTCTGTGTCCCCGTCCCTCCGTGTCCCCGTCCCCCCGTGTCCCCGTCCCTCCGTGTCCCCGTCCCTCCGTGTCCCCGTCCCCCCGTCCCTCCGTGTCCCCGTCCCCCCGTGTCCCCGTCCCTCCGTCCCTCCGTCCCCCCGTCCCTCCGTGTCCCCGTGTCCCCGTCCCTCCGTGTCCCCGTCCCCCCGTGTCCCCGTCCCCCGTGTCCCCGTCCCCCCGTCCCTCCGTGTCCCCAGGCCTCCGTGTCCCCGTCCCTCCGTGTCCCCGTCCCCCGTGTCCCCAGGCCTCCGTGTCCCCAGGCCTCCGTGTCCCCGTCCCTCCGTGTCCCCAGGCCTCCGTGTGCCGCCTCCTCCTCCGCGCGGCTCTGCGAGTCGGACCGGGCGCCTCACGCCCACTTACCCGCTGCCCAGGGAGAGGAGCACGGGGTCCGCCAGCCCCATGAGCACCTGGAAGGCCCGGTTCAGGTTGCGGTAGGAGAAGTGGTCCCCCGCATCCCCGATGACCACGCAGTTGGGGTTGGACGTGTCGATGTGGTCAAACTCCGAGCGGACTTCTGGAAGCGGGGAGGGTCAGGTTCAGAGGCAGCCTGCGCCCCCCTGCGCCCGCCCTGGGCTGCGGCCCGGGGAGAGGGGTGCTGGCCTGGCCCACGGGGAGGAGCGTCTGCCCCCCTCCAGCCGCCCCCCACGGCCCCAGGCCTACCGTCGTGGACCAGCAGGTGTGGCCGGAGGCCGCGCTCCTGGAGGAGGCGGCAGGCGGCGGGCGGCGGGGCGGTCACCTCGGCCTCGGACACGTCGAAGCCCAGGCCGCGCAGCTCACCCACCAGGCGCCCCCGGGACTTCTGCGACTCGTTGGTGCAGAACCGCACCTTCAGCCCCGAGCGCTTCAGCCTGGGGGGCGGGAGGAGCAGTGAGGAGGAGGAGCTTCAGCCTGGGGGGCGGGAGGAGCAGTGAGGAGGAGGAGGAGCACTTCAGCCTGGGGGGCGGGAGGAGCAGTGAGGAGGAGGAGGAGCTTCAGCCTGGGGGGCGGGAGGAGCAGTGAGGAGGAGGAGGGCTTCAGCCTGGGGGGCGGGAGGAGCAGTGAGGAGGAGGGCTTCAGCCTGGGGGGCGGGAGGAGCAGTGAGGAGGAGGGCTTCAGCCTGGGGGGGACGGGGAGGGGGCGTTACCGCCCGGGCCGGGGTCTGCCCTGGGGAGCACAGGGGCCTCAGCTGAGGCACACCTGCCACTGCCCCGGCCACGGGGTCTCGGTGCAGGCACGCACGGAGGCAGCGTCCCGGCGGAAGCGGGAGGAAGGCAGAGCTGCTGACAGAGCGAGGACGCGGACGGGCGGACGGGCCTTCGTCACGGCCGCGGTCCGCCCGTTCTCAGTATCCGTCTTTCCCAGTCAGAGGGCTGTGCGTGGCCCGCTGTGTGCGTGGTTAATTGCCCTTCATAAAGACAGCTTGGCGTTTTAATTAGGCAGTTAATTATCGGAACTAACAGCATCACCTTGTGCCGCCCTGACCGGGCTGGGCCGTGGCTCACACCGTTAGCGGAGGGGCCGGGGGAGGGGGCGCCGGGGCCGTGCCTGCTGACGCCTCGTCCTTCTCAGCAGGGCGAGCCCCTGCTTCAGGGGCTGAGCGTCGACCTATGAACGCGGAGGTCAGGGTTCGATTCCCGGTCAGGGCACAGGCCCGGGTTGTGGGCTCCATCCCCAGTGGAGGGCGTGCAGGAGGCAGCTGATCCGTGATTCTCTCTTGTCATGGATCTTTCTTTCCTGCTCTCCCTCTCCCTTCCTCTCTGAAATTAAAGAGGAGGAGAAGGAGGAGGAGGAGGAGGAGGAGAAGAAGGAAGTGGGTACCTAGAAGCCAGGAAGAGAACTCCGCCCAACCAGGGAACAGCCACTCGCACCCCGCCCCCCGCCCCCCGCGGGTCTGCTGCCTCAGGGCACACGCCGGCCGGGCGGCCTGGACGTGAGAGTCGGAGGTTAGGGAAGCTGGGGCGGCCGGGGGTGACTCCCAGGGACAGGCCGAGCTCTGGGACAGGCCATGTTCTCACCCCTCCCCCGTCGCCCCAAACCTGGGACAAGGGCTCCCTCTGAGACCTCGGCGCTGCCCCTCCCCAGGGCCCGGGGATGCGCCCGCCTTCCTGCGCCGCAGGGTCTGTGAGCTGACCTTCGCCGCAGCCTGGCGGGCGGGCGGGCGGGCCCGCTGAGCGGCAGCAGCGTCGCCGGGCAATTAGGTGCCCACCGAGCGGTCCGTCACCGGCCTCGCCCGTCTGCGGCGTCCATCTGCCGCTGCTCACCCGGAGATGATGGAGCCGCGTCAGTGCGGAGCGGGGCCGGGCGGCCGCGGGGCTGGCTGACCTTGGCCGCTGTGCCGCCCGCTCTCTCCGCTGCCACGGGGCCCGCCCGCGGGGAGCTGGCGGGGCCGGGAGGGGCCAGGAGGGGCGCCTACGGGATCCGCCGGCTGACCCGGCCCCCTCCCCACCGAGGGCCGCGTCCTACTCATCCAGAAGGCCTGGTTCATGCGCCTCCCTCCAGGAAGGCCCCGGGCCCCGCCCCCTGGGCAGCGCCATCGGCCTCTGCGTGGCTCCCAGCCTGTGGTCCTCCCTGCCTCCCGCCACTCAGGGCTCCCTCGGTGTTTCCTGAAGCACCGCCCACTCTGGTGCCCAGGCCCAAGCGCTGGGCGAGCACCAGGGCCGGGCAGCCCCTCGCCAGCCCCTCGCACCAGCCACGGCAGTTCTCCATGTGCACACTCCTCTGTAAGATGGCATGACAACAGCACCCACCTCCCGTCGTGAGGACCCAGGAGGGGCCACTGAGCACTGAGCAGCCACCGCGGGCAGCGGGCAGCGGGCAGGAGCCCACTCTCCCCACTGCCAAGGGGGCCGGGCACAGGGACCGGAGACCAGGCCCACGAGACCCCCCCCCCCTGGAGGAGGACCCACAGGTGCGGGTTCCTGGGGGAGGCGAGCCCCGGCTGGCAGATCACACTCCAGGTCACCAATGAGTGCGGCGCCCAGAGGGGAGGGGCTTCTCGCCATCACGGGCAGCTGCTCTGCCTGCTCTGTCCATGTTCTAATGTCTTTTTTGACGGCAGAGGGAAGGGAGAGGGAGGAACACCTATGACGAGAGAGAATCCCTGACCAGCTGCCTCCTGCCCGCCTCCTCCGGGGTCCAGCCCGCACCCCGGCCGGTGCCCTGCCGGCCGGAGCCATGCTCAGACAAGGCTGGTTTTGTTTATTTTTTAATGTATTTTATTGATTTTTTAACAGAGGGAAAGAGAGAGGGATAGAGAGTTAGAAACATCGATGAGAGAGAATCATCCCCTACTGGGGATGTGCCCTCAACCAAGGTACACGCCCTTGACCGGAATCAAACCTGGGACGTTGCGGTCTGCAGGCCCTATCCACTGAGCCAAACTGGTTTCGGCCAAGGCCTAACCTGTATTTTCACACAGAAAAATACAGTCATCCGCACACACAACGGACACCCCCACATACATGAGACATCCCCCCATACAGGGGACATTCCCGCAGGGGACCCCCCCACACACAGGGGACCCCCACACAGGAGACACCCCACACACAGGGGACCCCCCACAGGGGACCCCCCCACACACAGGGGACCCCCCCACAGGGGACACCCCACACACAGGGGACCCCCCCACAGGGGACCCCCCACAGGGGACACCCCCCCCACACAGGGGACCCACCACAGGGGACACCCCCCCCACAGGGCCCCCCCTACAGGGGCCCCCCCACAGGGGCCCCCCCACAGGGGACCCCCCCACAGGGGACACCCCACAGGGGACCCCCCCAGGGGCCCCCCCACAGGGGACACCCCCCCACAGGGGACCCCCCCATAGGGGACACCCCCACACACAGGGGACGCCCCCCACAGGGGACACCCCACAGGGGACACCCCCCACAGGGGACGCCCCCCACAGGGGACCCCCCACAGGAGCCCCCCCACAGGGGACCCCCCACAGGGGACCCCCCCACAGGAGCCCCCCACAGGGGACCCCCCACAGGGGACACCCCCCCACAGGAGCCCCCCCACAGGAGCCCCCCACAGGGGACCCCCCACAGGGGACCCCCCCCACACACAGGGGACCCCCCACAGGGGACCCCCCACAGGGGACCCCCCCACAGGGGACACCCCCCACACACAGGGGACCCCCCACAGGGGACCCCCACAGGGGACCCCCCCCACACACAGGGGACCCCCCCACAGGGGACCCCCCCACAGGGGACCCCCCCCACACAGGGGACCCCCCACAGGGGACCCCCCACAGGGGACACAGCACACACACAGGGGACCCCCCACAGGGGACCCCCCACACACAGGGGACCCCCCACAGGGGACCCCCCCACACACAGGGGACCCCCCACAGGGGACACCCCCCACACACAGGGGACCCCCCACAGGGGACCCACCCACAGGGGACACCCCCCACAGGGGACCCCCCACAGGGGACACCCCCCCCCACAGGGGACCCCCCCCACAGGGGCCCCCCCACAGGGGACGCCCACGTTGACTCTGGAGGGTCTGGCTCAGCTCCCGAGCGTCCGGACGGCAGCAGCTCAGGGCCAGGGAGCCCGGGCTTTCCCGCCCGGGGCTGGGGCTGGCGCCTGCACGTGCCCTGGGCTCCCGGGGTCCTGAGGCTCAGCCAGGCCGGGTGGTGACAGCACCTGGCCCCTCACCCCCACCCCCCTGGCGGTCCTCCTGGGCCGGGCACTGCAGGCGCACGTGACTGCCGCCCTGGCTCACGGCGGGGCCTGGCTGCCAGGATCTCTGCTGAGCCAGCTGGGCCCCCCTCTCCCTGCAGCACCGCCCCCTCCCGCTGGCTGTGGGCAGAGTGTGGGCAGAGTCCAGAGTCTGGACAGAGCGGAGGGGACCGGCGGTGGTAAGAACACGGCTGAGCCCGGGCCGCCCGCCAGCGGCCTGAGGACAGGGATGAGGTCACACAGACTGGACAGGCCCAGAGCAGGCCTTGGGACACCAAGCTCACCTCCCTGCCCAGTGCTCCCCGCTGACCGGCCGCGCTGACCTGTGAGCCGCTGGGGCAGGTCGGAGACACGCGGAGCCGCAGACCTCAGCACGTTTGTTCACAAACTCCAGCGGGAGGCGGGCAGGGAGCGGACACCTCAGGGGGCCTTGCTGGACACAGACCCCAGGCCCCAGGGGACCCCCTTTCTCTGGGGAGCAGCCCGGCCTGGGGAGTGCACAGCCACCATCCTGCCTCTGGGGGGGTCTTTGAGCCTCAGGTTCCTTCTCTCTTTTTTCTCTTTTTAAAAAAATATGTTTTTATTGATTTCAGAGGGAAAGGGTGATTAGATAGATGATATATAGATAGACAGACATAGATGATAGATAGATATAGATATACAATAGATGATAGACAGATAGATAGATAGATAGATAGATGATAGATAGCGACGTCAACGATGAGAAGGAATCATTGACCAGTGGTCCTGCCCACCGACGTGGAGACCAAACACTCCCCCCGTCACCCCCCTAGAGGCGGGCGGGTTTACCTGTCCTCTCTGTTGTCTCTCTTTCTGAGCAGAAGGGGTTCATACACATCGCTCCCCAGCTTTGTCAAGTGCTACGGGCGCGTGTCACGGGAACCAAAGCCAACAGCAAACGGAGAGCCCGCATCCTAACCTGCTCCCTGTCGCCTCCCGAGGGACACGTGCTGTCCCCCCCTCACCCCCCTTGCACCTCAGCCGTGGACGCCTGCACCAGGTGGGCGGTCTACCGCGCCAGGCGCCCATCCTGCATCCACCGGCACACCCGCCCTCTCACCGCCTGGCCTCGGCACCAACGCTGCAGGTGTGAACCTCAAACACAGCCCGGCTCAGCCGGCCGCGTGGCACAGGGGTTCAGCGTTACCAGGAGGCCAGGGTTCGATTCTCGGTCAGGGCACAGGCCCGCGTTGAGGGCTGGATCCCCAGTGTGGGGGGTGCAGGAGGCAGCCAATCCATGATTCTCTCTCATCACTGTTTCCATCTCTTCCTTCTCCCTCTCTCTAAAAATCAATAAAAACATATTTATAAAAAATAACACTGCTCAAACACCTCTCCTTTATTTGTTTCATTTGGGGGTTCCACCCCGAGTTCATCTGGGAAAAGAGTGTGAACCCCCTGGACTGGGATCTGCGGGGGATCCCGCCGGCTCCTGTGACCTGTGACCCATGAGCTTCAGGGCGGGGCCGTGAGGGGTGATGGGCGCCTCGGGCTCAGGAAAGGGGGGCACCCTGCACTCTGCGCTTCCCAGGGAAAGGGGAGCAGGCCCGGAGGCCCCCGAGGCCCCGCGAGGACATGACTGAGCCGGGACCGGGGTGTGGACGCCGGATGCCGGTATCCACGCTCGGGGGGAGGGGGGGATGTTAGAGGAGGCGGCACCGCAGGGAGATGGGAACACAGCGGGGTGAGCGGCCCGCCCTGGCCGCCCTCCCACCTGAGCCGGCAGGTCACCCCCACGGAGACGCAGCAGGGAGACAGGACAGGACATTCTCCCAACGCCCCCGTCCAAGGTCCGGGCTGAGTCAGGAGGTGCCCGCTGCCTAAACAAACTCACCCCGGCCCGCCCCCACAGCGCAGGCCGCTGGCAGGGGCCGGCCACACGGGGGGAGGGATGGAGCGGGCGAGAGGCTCCGGGCCGCCCAGGGTCCCTGCAGGGCCGCCTCCCGGGACCCTGTAGTGGCCGCTGACGGTGCCGCGTGGCCAGCACCAGGGGAGTGGGGCCTGCGCCTGCCCGGCTCCAGACAGGGCCCCGGGCCGGTTCCTCCTGGCTCAGACCTGCTGGGCGGGGCCTGAGTTCCATGGGGCCCGGCTTCGGGGGCACCCCGGGCTGTGAGGGCCCCCGGAAGGAGGGGAAGGAGGGGCTGCGGCGGGCGGGAGGTGCTGGGGGTTGCTTTATGAGGCCGCCTGGGCCCCGCAGGGCCTGGACCTTCCGGCCGGGCAGGCCTGGCAGTGGTGCTTTAGTGGCCGCCCGCCCGCCCGCCCGCCCGGAGGCAGGAAGCCGGGCCTTTCACATGCAGATGCCGGGGGCGCTTTGTGCTCGGCGACCGGCCCGCTCTGAATGGCTCCCCAATAAAGCGCCTGCGGGGACCCAGGCAGTTACAGATGTCCCAGGACCCGCCCCGCCCCCCGGTCCAGGCAGGAAACCCTGTCCCCAGTGGCTCCAGAGGGACCGCACTGCCAGGAAGGACAAGGGGCAGAGTGCCTCCCGCCCCCCCTTCTGGGCTCTGCTGGTCCAGGTGTAGACTTCAGACCCTGCATCACTGGACCTGTGAGGCCACGCCCCCTGAGTCCCCCCCACACACACCTAGCCCCCGACACCAGCCTTTGGGTGCTCTTTACGGGACCGGCAGTTGGGGGGCTGTGGGACGCAGAGCCCTCAGAGTGAGCAGGCACCTGCAGGGTGGGGTGAAGGAAGGAGGCGGTGTGGCTGGCAGGGAGAGCCGGGCTCTGCCGTCGGGCAGATGTGGGTGAATCCCAGCAGTTACCAATCTCTGAGCCTGGGCCCCACTTCGAAAAGGGGCGCGCCCCCTCGGGGCTGGCTGTGAGGGTGGTGTGTGAGGCCCCGCACCCTCGTGGGCCCGGGCAGGCCTCCCTCACTCCGTGGCGACGGCTGTGGTGGTCGACCGGTTTTAAAGAGCAGAGTGTATTCTCGCCATGGGCTCTGCCCACAAAGGCGGGCCGTTTCAGGAAGTCAGGGCCAGCTGTCACACAGAAAGCCCAGGAAGGGGCTGTGCGGGAGCCGGGTGGAGGCACGGCTCCCCAGGACCCGGGTCCCCCTCCGCCCATCACACTGGTCCTGGGGAGGGGCCTTGTCCCCAGGCGCTTCCTCCAGTTCCCGGACTTCAAAGCCACCGCACATCACATCGAGGCTGCGGAGGGAGGTGCAGAGGGGCCTCAGGGGGGATGGGGGCTGCAGAGGCCCATGCCCAGGGCCATTCACCTAGGCCCATGGTCAGCTAACTGCGGCTCTCGAGCCACCTGCGGCTCTTTGGCCCCTTGAGTGTGGCTCTTCCACAAAATACCACGCGCGGGCGGGCACTTACAGTGCGATTGAAACTTCGTGGCCCATGCGCAGAAGTTGGATTTCGGCTCTCATTGTGCTGTTGATATTGGGCTCTGTTGACTGATGCGTTTGCCAACCACTGGCTAGGCACACAGGGCCTGCTCCGGAAAAGTCCTGGTGGAGTCCTCTCTTGGCTCAGCCACCACAGAAGGAAATAGTCCCCCCGCCTCCCCATTACTGAAACATCCCAGGGAAAACCCGAAGCCGGCCTGTTTTACTGGGGGAAGTTTCCGGAACTACACTCACTCCGCCCCACCCTGGCCTCGGCCCGGGCCCAGGCAGCCCGGCACGGCCACGGCGCCACGGTGGGAGCTGTGGGTGTGTGTGTGGGGGAGTTGGGGGACCAAGGGGACACACAGTGCAGAGTGGCCCTGGTTATGTGGGTTCTGGGGCCTCAGGGCTCCGTTCCTACAGGGTTTCCCTCTCACACTGAAATGCGTTTGAACCTTAACTCCCATCCATCCACTCAATCTTCCACGAGTGCACTGCTCCCTCACCCCAGGCCCTTCGCCCCTGCAGCCTGGGGTGCCTCCTCCCCGCCAGCCCCGCCCCGCCACACTCTGCCCCTCCTCAGCGTCCCTTTCTTCCCGTCGCTATGCCAACCTGGCGACTTGGCCACTCATCTGTGCCGTTTACTGCCCTCCGGCCCTCCGGACACGCGCCCACGAGGCCCTGTCTGCCTCAGTCAGGGCCCCGAGGTCCGGTCCCCCCACAGGCAGCGCGGTGCCCGCTGGCCGCTCCCACAGGTGCCCCCCCTCGTGCCTGTGATGGGGCCAGCCTGAAGCTGACCGTGGGGCAAACGGAGACCGGGACACAGGCCACGCAGGCACTGGCCTGGCCCTCGGACCTGTGCCCGCGGGGCCCAGGGAGGCGCCCGGGTCTCGGGTTCTTTCCTGGGCGTCATGCCCCCCTTTTTGAGTTCCCGGCCCCTCCAGCACCTCCGGCCTCGCTCGCCATGAGGACACAGCCACCGCCTACAGGTGGGCAAACTGAGTCCCACCAGCGCAGACCCAGGTGGGAGGCCACGTCCTGTGCAATCAGCCCTGGCCGGCTGCCCGTCGCCATCGTGGCGCACGGCCTGCGATGCCCTGGCCGTGACAAAGCCCAGGCCCAGTGTGCCCCCGCGGTCCCGGCATGTCCTCCATGTGCTGACCCCTCCTACTGTCTAACAGATGATCACACAGTCCAACTGCCTAGCTGTATGGCTCAGTGGTTAGGCATAGACTTTTTTTTTTTTTTTTAAATATATTTGTATTGATTTCAGAGAGAAAGGGAGAGAGAAACATTAATGATAAGAATCACTGATTGGCCCCACACGGGGGATCACTCTGGGAATCTGTGCCTGCAACCCAGGCAGGTGCCCTGACCGGGAATCAACCGCGATCTTGTTCATAGGTCCACACTCAGCCCACTGAGCCATATGGCTGGGCAAGCATGGACTTTTGAACCAGAAGGTCAGGGTTCAATTCCCGGTCAGGGCACATGCCCAGGTTGTGGGTTCGATCCCCAGTAGTGGGCGTGCAGGAGGTGTCCGATCCATGATTCTCTCTCATTGATGTTTCTCTCTCTCTCTCTCTCTCTCTCTCTCTCTCTCTCTCTCTCTCTCTCTCTGAAACCAATAAAAATGTTTAAAAAAAAAAATACAGTCCCACTGAATTACAATGCCAGTCACACGTAATTCAAAGTTTCCTGGTAACGGCCTTAACACAAGTCAAAAGAAACAGATGGAATCAACTTGATAGGTTTTATTTAAACCTAGCATATTCCTTTGATTATCATATCAACATGCAATCAATAGGAACTGTATGACCCGCGTGGATATTCAGATGATTATCATATCAACATGCAATCAATACGAACTATAGGCCCCGCGTGGATTTGACACGGACGGCGCATCCCCAGCAGACCCGCCACCTGCCCAGCGCTCCCCCGGGGCGCAGGCTCCTCCCGCGCCGGTTCTAGGGCTCCGGGCGGGGCGGGGCCAAAGCACCTGCCCCGCCCCGGGCCCCGCCCCCGCGGCGATCAGAGCGGCGGAGGGGCCGGACCGGGCTGAGCGGTGGCCCGGCCCCAGGCGGCCCGCGCGGCGCACTCACCTCGCCACCGCGTCCACGGAGCCGGCGATCGGCCTGCCGCCGCCCTCGCCGCTGTCGTACAGGACGCCCGAGATGTCGAGCAGCACCCCGCGCACGCCGGCCAGCCGGTCTCCCCCCGCGGCCATCGCGCCCGCCGCGCAACCCCGACTGCGTGTCCCGGCCCGACAGCTCGTCCCAGCCCCGGCTGCAGACTGCGGCTGCGCCGCCGCGCAGGGGCGCCTGGGAACTGTAGTTCCGCGGGGCTGGGCCGGGGCGGGTCCCCAGGGGAGGAGGCGGGCTCTGCCTTTGGCCTTGGGGGTCACGTGCTCCCAAATGGGCGTCCTCTCCGCAAACCCCGGGGTAAAAGTCAGACCATGAGGAATGCTCGCAGGAGACAGACACCTGCAGAGGCAGCCAGAGTGAGAGCACCGCAGGCCCCGGGCTGCGTGGCGGGAGCGGGAGCCTTAGAGCCGGACCGTGGACCACACAGCCCCGCATCTGCCCAGCGCGGCCCAGGCAGGGATGCTGAAGAGGATGGCGGCTGTGAGCCTCCACGCCAGAACCAGCCGGAAGAACAGTGTGAGGGCGGGATGGTCCCAGGAGTGATAACATGGCTGCTGAAAGAAAGACCGTGCCATCCAAAAAGGAAGAACGGGGCCCTGGCTGGTGTGGCTCAGTGGATGGAGCATTGGTCTGCGAACTGAAAGATCCCGGGTTTGATTCCAGTCAAGGGCACAGGTCCAGGTTGTAGGCTTGATCCCCAGTGGAGGATTTGCAGGAAGCAGCCGATCCATGATTCTCTCATAGATGTTTCTGTCTCTCTCCCTCTTCCTTCCTCTCTGAAATCAATAAAAACATATTGAAGCCCTAACCGGTTTGAAGGGCCCCCGGTGCGATTCCAGTCAAGGGCATGTACCTTGGCTGAAACCGGTTTGGCTCAGTGGATAGAGTGTCGTCCTGCGGACTGAAGGGTCCCAGATTTGATTCCGGTCAAGGGCATGTACCTTGGTTGTGGGCACATCCCCAGTAGGGGTTGTGCAGGAGGCAGCTGATTGATGTTTCTCTCTCTCATCAATGTTTCTAACTCTATTTTTCTTCCTTCCTCTCTGAAAAAAAATCAATAAAATATATATATTTTAAAAATGAAGAACTGGGTAGCAAGATGGGAAATGCTCACGTTACCACATTATGTGAGTAAGCAGATGCCACGCGGTACGCAGACCACAGCCCTGCAGACGTCGGATGTGTGGGAACGGCCGGGAGAGAATGGGGGTGTTACGATGGTAAGCAGTGAGATTTTGGACGTCGCCCTCTCTCAGCTGCCGTCACCGGCGCATCATCTCGGGTGGCGTTATCGGCTCGGGACACCCGCCGTGAATATTGATCCCCAGCCGGTGCAGCCGTCACTTGCCGTCGGGCAGGCCAGGGTGGAGCCTGGGAGCGATGTGAAGGCAGTGCTCAGCGGAATGCTGATGTCCACCGGGAAAACAAACCCCTCCACGCGCGGGGCGGGGGGGGGGGGCGCGTGCGGGGGGGAGCTGGCTGGACACGATACGTTTATTATAGAGGAACTCCTCGGGTATAAATACAGGTACGAACGAGCCTTCACATCCCCAGCGGGGCCTCAGGCAGGTGGTCAGAAAACAGTTCCCCAAGTTTCTCTCCACCCACCGGCCTGCAGAACCCAGCGGGCTCTGGGGCGAGGGGTTTCTCTCTAAGTGGGTGAGTAAGGGGCGTTCTATTCCTCCTGTTTGTGGGGGACCCCTCGCCGTTTCTTCTGGGCCCGCTGTTTCCACAGCCACGTGCTCACGCTGCCCTGAACACACGTGTTGGAGATGCAGGCACCGTACAGGTACAGGGCGAGCACCATTTAGAACGACGGGAAGGAGTTCAGGACACGCTGTCTAAAGCGAGTGGCCTGGGAGCGTCTCTGCCTTCCCAGCACGGCTTCTCCCGGCTCCTCCCTGTGGCTCCACCTGTGACCCTGCTTCCGGGGACAGTGCTTCCCACCTGCAGACAAGTCTGAGCATTTATAGAGTGAAAGTGTCCTGACCGTCCCTGTCCCTCTGGTCGGGGGTCGGGGGGGGGGAAATGGAGGCTCCGGAAGGCCACCCGCCTTCCCGTGAAGACGGCCTCCCCCTTCTCCCGGTGGACATATGGGAAGAGGGACCTTGGGAAACCACAGAGGCCCGTTATGGAGCGGCCTGAGGAGGTGGACCTCCGGCCAGCCTGAGGACGGACCTGGCCGGAAAGATGAACGCAGGCCCTAACGGGTTTGGCTCAATGGATAGAGCATCAGCCTGCGGACTGAGGGGTCCCAGGTTCGATTCCGGTCAAGGGCATGTACCTTGGTTGTGCGCACATCCCCAGTAGGGAGTGTGTGGGAGGCAGCTGATCGAAGTTTCTCTCTCATTGATGTTTCTGACTCTCTCTCTTTCTCTCCCTACCTCTCTGTAAAAAATCAAAATATAGTAAAAAAAAAAAAAAAAAAGATGAACGTGGTTGTTAAAAAGTAAAGGGGGCGGGGAGATCAGTGTGGGGCGGGAGAGAGAAAAGGCAGATGAAAGACAGTAAACAAGTGAGCACAGAGTGAGGAGAGTTGTGAAACAGAAACGAAGTCCCCGCTCTGTCTCAGCGTCTGCGGCTGCCCTGGCCGTGCTGTGGGGTCCCGGCCGGCTGTGGGGTCCCGGGCCAGCTGTGGGGTCCCGGCCGGCGGGCGGCCTGTCTGTGGGCTCTCACAGGTGGGCCCCTCTGGCGGGAGGCGGGCCCTTCAGTTCCGGTTTCCTTTTCACGCACGTCCATCTGGGCTTGGGGATGGCCGGCTTGCAGTCGGCAGGGCTTTCAAGTCCCCAGGGGACCCCGTGCCGCCCCTAGGAGGAGCCTGGGGTTTGAATGAGAAAGGCAACAAGGCCTGCTCTCTGGCCACAGGAGGGTCCGCAGCCCGCACTTTGATGGGGTCCCCGCCCCTGCCCACCGCACCTGCTGGGACAATAGTGATTGCCCAGCCTTTGTGCCACACCCCGGGGGCGGGAAGAAAGGGCCCCGGGCTGGGGGCGCCCTGGGCGGGCGGCTGGAGAAGCTCAGGGGAGTGAGAGCGAGGCCCGGGCTCAGGGGGTGCCACAGGGGCAGGAGGGAGAGGGGCACCTCCCCTGGACGGATGTCCACTCTCCCACGGGACTCGGTGTGGCATGGGGGCCAGCTCAGTGGTCTCGGCCCCTGACCGCACACTCAGACCGGACAAACATCTCCCACCTTCATCTGTTTGGGGCTGAGAGTGGTGGGGATTGGACAGTCCACCTGCTCCCCGGAGGCCCAGTTCCTGTTGGAGATGACCAGGTCCGGGCTGGGGAGGCCTGCAGGCGCCAGGGCTGTGCATGATGGCTTAGCCAGCCCGGTAGCCACCCTCACCATGCTCACCGGGCCCACCGGCTCTGAACCTGGGACCTGTCACAGTCTCCGTAGCCTCGGCCGCCTTCCCGGGCCTGGGGTCTCTCTCCACGCCCTGCCCTGAGGGGGAGGGAAGGCCTGGCCCCGGGCCGGCAGGAGGTGCTGGAAGGTCCTGTCCAGAAGAGGACGGGGTTTGAGTCCAGACTGTCACCAGCCGGCAGTGTCCTTGGGCAGCTCACTCCTCATCTCTGAGCCTCAGTGTTCTCATCTTTAGAATGGGGACACTAGCCCATCCAGGCCAGCCCACCTCCCCGGACGCTCAGAACCCGGAGGACCCGGGGAGCTCACAGAACCGCCCACCCCGGTTCTGTGAACTGTGAGGACGCGAGGGCCCACGTCCGGGGTGACCGGGTCTCAGGCCGTCCCGTGCTTCCCTGGCGAGGCGGGAGGGGGCTGAGCGGGGCCGTGGTCGCTAGTCCTGCCTCCACCACAGCCCCAACACCGAGGCGGGCGCTTTGGGAGAGGGCGCAAGCCTCCAGAGCGTGTCCGTGGGTGCGCGCCCAGCCCTCCCTCCCCATCTGTCCCCCTCTCTCCCTCCTTCCTTTCCCCCTCCTCACTCCCTCTCTCCTCCCTCCGGGGGTCTCTGCCGGGGGTGGAGGCGCGCGGAGCCGGTGCGCGCCCGGCCCAGGCTGGAGGCCCGGGAGGCGCGGGCGGCGCGCCGGGCGGGCGGCGGGGGCCTCGGTCCGGCAGGTGCCAATCGGCGCGCAGCCCCCCGCCGCTCCCCGCGCCCCGCCTCCCGCCCCCTCCCCGGCGCCCCCGGCCGCCCGGCCTTCCCCCCCTCCCTCCCTCCGGCGGGAGACCGCGGACACACGGAGAGGCGAGCCGGAGCGCGGGCATGCTGGCCGGGCAGGACGGCGGGGCCCAGGCGGCCCCCGCCCCGCACAGGACCCCCTTCTCCGTGCTGGACATCCTGGACCCGCGCAAGTTCACCCGCGCCGCGCGCCCCGCGCCCCGCGCGCCCGGGGAAAGTTTGGCGGCGGCCGGAGCGCGGGGGGAGGCCGGCTGCGGGGACCCGGCCCGCCCGCCGGAGCCGCCGGGTAAGGACGGAGGAGGCCGGGCTGGGGGGCCCCGGGCTGGGGGGGCCTCAGGTGGTGCGATGGAGAGGAGAGGTGTGAGCGCGCGGAGCGGGGAGGAGGACGGGGCCCGGGACGCGGGGACGGCCAGGGAGGCGGCTCTGCGCCGGGAAGAAAGGCGAGGGCGGTGGGAACGGACCCCGCGCCCGGCCGGCCCGGCCCTGTCCATCCACCGGCGTCTCCGCTCCGCCACGTGCGGGAGCTGCCGGGGCCGGGGCGAGTCAGGAAGCGGCATCCCCCGGTTTTATGGCTGAGGAAGCTGAGGTTCTAGTTGAGGATGGGGTTAGAAAAGGGCTATCCTGGTGGCCACTGCCAACTGCCCAGATACCTGCAGACCCGCTGCCCACCCACCCCAGCTCACAGGGGGGGAGCTTTTAGTCTCCCCCCAACCCCCTTATTTAAGAGCGCGGAAGGGAAGGAGACAGGAACATCTTGTGAGAGAAACTTGGCGATTGGCTGCCTCCCGCATGTCAGGGACGGGGATGGAGCCTGCAGCCCAGGTACCTGCCCTTGGCTGGAATCGAACCTGAGACCTTTTAGTCCGCGGGCTGCCGCTGTGTCCACTGGGCCACACTGGCCAGGGCTCCAGTCCCTCTTGGATTTGCTCCTCACCGGTGGACACCTGGAGGGTCCAGGGACCTGTGTCCAGAAGGACAAAGGGCCCAGGACCCTCCCTGGGAGGGGGGGGCGGGCGCCGTGGTCAGAGGAGCAGCCTTGGGGGGGGCGGGGAGCTGGATGCACCATCCTCTCCACCTCCCCTCACCTCCCTCCTGCCCCGGGTTTGGGTTTGGGCTGATTGTCCGGGCTTGGGGGCCCCAGGCGGCGGCCGGTCAGCTGGTAATTGTTGGGACCGCCCTCGGAGGGGCGCCCCCCCACCCCCATGATCGATATCCTATTACTGGCCGCCGGTATCTCCCGCCTGCAGCTGGCAGGTACCGGCGTCCAGCCCTTCCCCTGTCTGATCCCAATATCGCTCCATTAGAACTTACCTCTAATAGATGACATCTATCGATCCCCGCACAAATCTGAAACTCTATTAACGCGGGATTGAGGAGATGGAAGGGGCTGCTCCCGGAGGGGGGCCTGGCACTTCTGGGGTAACTGCGGGGGTGGGGTCCCAAACGCGCTGAGCGTCCCTACGTCTTAAGGTGCAATGACCCCCCCCCCACGTGAAAGGCAAGGGGTACTGCACCCCTGCACCGCACCCCTCCCCTGCACCCCTGCACCGCACCCCTCCCCTGCACCCCTGCACCGCACCCCTCCCCTGCACCCCTGCACCCCTGCACCGCACCGCACCCCTGCCGCTCCGAGAAGAGCCGGCCGAGCTGAGCGGGGCGAGCTGCGTGCTCTGGGGGGACCAGGAGGCGGGCTCCGGCCCCGGATAACGGCCCTGCTCCCCCAGGTGCTGCGGCCCGGGGCGCGGAGGCGGCGGCGGCGGCGGAGGACCCCGAGGACGCGGGCGGGCGGCGGCGGCACCGGGCGGCGCTCCAGCCCGGCTCCCCGGAGGCGGCGGCGGCGGCGGGGGAGCTCTGCCAGGCGGAGGCTCCGGGCTCCCCCGGCTCCCCGGGCTCCCCGCGGCGCCGGCGCCCCGAGCCCCGCGCCCGGCCCCCCGCAGCCCGGCCCCGGCGCGCGCGCACGGCCTTCTCGGCGGAGCAGCTGGCCGCCCTGGAGCGCCGCTTCCGCGCCGGCCGCTACCTGTCCGTGTGCGAGCGCCTCAACCTGGCGCTGTCGCTGAGCCTCACGGAGACGCAGGTGAAGATCTGGTTCCAGAACCGCCGCACCAAGTGGAAGCGCCAGCACCCGGCCGCCGGCGGCGCGGCGCCGGCCCCGCCCGGATCCCCGGGGCCCGCGGCGGCGGGGGGCGGGGGCGGCGGCCCGGCGGGCAGCCCCGGGCCCCCCTCCTTCCAGACGGTCCCCTCCTTCCCCGCGGCCCACCTGCTCCTCCCCGCCGCCCCCTTCCCGCTGGCGGCCGCCGGGGTCCCCTTCGCGCCCCTCCTCGCGCCCCCCTACCCGGCCCCCTTCTACGCCCCGCACCTGTGACCCGGCGCCCCGCGCCCCGCTGCACCGGGACCCAGCGTCTGCGCGCCCCTCTCCGCCAGGGCGCCCCAGGGGCCGGGAGAGGCCGGACGCTGACCGGCTGGATCCACCGAGGCCACGTGGTTAGCGTCCTCGGGTTTCCCGCGCCTGGACCTGGCTGCCTGGACCTGGCTCTCCGGTCGGTCGGTCGGCCGGTCGGTCAGGCCTAACTCCGCCCAGGGCCCCTTTGGGGGGTCCGGGAGCCGCCACCCCCATCCGGTCCACCAGCTGCTCCCCGGGACCGAGTCCTCCGGGATGTTAGCTCACCCGCAGCGTGGGGAGCTTCCGTTTTGCAGCGGACGGTCCCCCTTTCACACCGCGTCACCGGCCAAACCCGGGGGTTTCTCCCCGGGACCCCGAGGCTGGGCCGCTGCGGCCCTGAGCGCGCCCGGCGCTGGAAACGGACGCCGTTTTCAATGTGTGAAGCTCGGCTTGAGACCTTTCCTTGGGTCTGGCTCAGACGGACGCCGTGGAGGCTGCAGAGCACGCAGACGGCTCCAGGGGGCGTGACGGACGCACGCCTGGGTGTGGGAGCTGCTGGGGACCGAAGCATATTCTTCACGGACCCCACTGCAGGCGCCTCCCCCGGGGCACCCACTGCCGCTGTGACCATCTGCCCACACTGCCTCCTCCGTGACCTCGCCTCCGGCCGTGTCTGGTCTCCTCTCGCTGGCTTTCCAGGTGATGTGGTTTGTGGCCAGCCCGCAGCTCCGCAGGCGTCCCCAGGCAGCGAGGTCATGTGTGTCTTATGCTCGCCTTTACTGATGGAGGCCCACGGGGATCTACAGGAATACCATGCTCCTGTTCCTTCTCGGTAACCTGTGCCATCAATCATTACGTTTAATCGTCAAAGACTTCATTCCTATCAAGTAAAGCACACTGCTGGTGTGAACCCATAATGCTATTGCCATCTTTTTGTTTTTGTTTTTGTTTTGATTTTCTAATTTCAGAGAGGAAGAGAGAGAGAGAGAGAGAAGTATCAATGATGAGAGAGAATCATTGATCGGCTGCCTCCTGCACTTGATCGAGCCCGCAACCCAGGCCTGTTCCCTGAATGGTAATTGAACCGTAACCCCCTAGTTCATAGGTCAATGCTCAACCATGGAGCATGCCGGCCTGGTCATCCTGAAATAGCAAGTTCTATTATGATCAGGAACGATAGAAAATAGCCTGCCTTCCTCTCAGATTAAGTGCAGACTTCCTATTCATGGGACCTAAGAGGTATGAACACATCTGTTATTTAATTCTGTAAGATTTACCGCTTCAACCCTTTTCCTTCTGTTCTAAGGGAGAACAGTGTCCCCAGACAATGCACTGTGCTTTCTAAGAGCCAGTGGGTGCTGGGTGAGATAAAGACAGGGGCGGTTACTGCAGTAGAGAGGCGATTCTCTCATTCCTTCTCACATGCGGATCCACCTCCTTCAGAACGATTCTTGGTTTCTCAAAAGTCACATCCATGTGTCCTGGCAGCCGAGGGGACAGAGGTGAGACAGGGACAAGGAGCTGGATTTCCCTCAGGTGTGGGGCGATGACATCCCTCAGTGCCAGGACCACAGACTCCGGGTGGAGAGGGGGCCTGGTGCCCGGGGAGGAGAACCCAGAGCCTGCCGGGGGAGGAGACGAGCAAGCGAGCTGCCAGCACGAGGATTGGCTGCCTTTTCCTCCCGGTGACCGTGTGGTCTCACTGTCCATCTCCTGATGGCAATGACATTGCCCGCCTCTTCCTGTGCCCTCTGGCCACTTCCGTATCCGTCTCCTTAAGTGTTTCGTCACATCTTCTACCCCCTCATTTCCTGGTCGGTTAACTGACTTTTAGGGAAGTGACTTGTCCAAAGCCACCCACGTTACCGAAGAACCAGACTCAGCGAGGCCGGCGAGGTGCCAGGGCCACGCCCGAGAACTCCAGAGTGATTTACAGTGCCCCCTGGGTGCCGATCGTGAGGAATATTGGATTAAAATCTTTAAGATCGACCTGAGAGCTGTTTGGGCCTTTTGTAGTTCCCTGCTCAGAGTCAGCACCGGACAGAAAGGGGATTCTATAGTCCCCTCCCCCTCCTCTATCTGCACAAAGTGAGCCCCGAGTCTGTGCCAGCGCTGATTGGGGTGATGGGAGTTTACGGATTATTTATTGATTTCTGTTAACATTTGTTTGTATTGATTGGAGAGGATGAGGGAGAGGGAAAAAGAAGGCAATTCCCGGGAAGCAGAGTCGCGAAGGACTGAGACGGGCAGTTAGACATTAGAATGAAAGGCAGGGCCCACGGGGTCCCATGAAATGCACGGGTGGCAGATTAGGGAGGTGGGAGGAAGCCAAGCGGGAACCCTCTGGGATTGGCTGATGAGTAAAATGATAGACACCTGCTTCTTTCACGTGGGTGGGTGGGGCTCTGTGGTGGCTGCTCTGGGGAGGTTGTGCGGGGCCGGGGGTGGTGGTCTGGGAAAGTAGGTGGCTCGGACCTTCCAAAGGTTTGCTCTCTCAGATGCAGAGACCACAGGTGGGCTCAGTTGAGGCCAGGGCTGACCTTTGGCAAGGAAGATGCCTGCCGCCATAGGACCACCTGCCACGACTCACTGTCTGGCGGTTCAGACCATCCCGGGGGCACGCTGGCACTCAGAGTTCGCACGGCCGCACACAGGCCTCCCCTGAGCTCGTCAGGGTTTGCATGGGCCCCCTTTTAATCCACAAAACTGTACTGAACTTGAAATGACTGGGAAGGAAACGTCACATTTATGAGAGCGCTGCCCAGCGTTGTGTTGCCATAGAAGCATTTGTTTTCTCTCCCGCCCTCACGGGGGGAGGGCATCCATAGACATCAACTCCGATGCCAGTGGCAGGCGGCTCTGGCTTTCTCATTTCTAACCCTCTCATTGATGTTTCTATCTATCCCACCTGCTTCCTCTCTCTCTAAAAGAAATCAATAAAAACATTTTTTTCCCCCCAAAAGAATGCTTTCCCCATAAACGTGGCATCTGTTTCTCCCCATGGTCAGAGGTGTGAGGGTTCCGTGCACATCTGCTGACCGTGCGTTTCCCCGCTCCCACCCCTGCTAGAGGCCGCATGCTCTCCTGGTGAGAAGCCTTGGCAGCTCTGGCGCTGGGCACTCAGGCACACGTGCTGACCGCACCGAGGAAGCTGATTTAGGTGAGGGACCTCTGTCACGGGGTCAGCCCAGTCCCGCCCCACACACCGGGCCACCCGCTCTCCTCTCCGCCAGCCCTGCCTGAGATGGCCGGACACTGGACGTGGAGCCAGGCTTCCGACCCAGTGATTGCACTGCTGGGACTTTAACCCACAGACATGCCTTCGTGAGGGGTCGCAGACAAGGTTATTTGCTGAGGCGTTGCTCAGCAAGATTGAACCACCCCGCCGTCTGCAATATGGGGCTGTTAACGGGCTGTAAACAGACAGCAGGGGCCTCTCCTGGGGCCTCGGAGAGCAGAGAGCGGAGAGCGCGGGCTTGGCGGCAGCGAGGTCCACGGAGCCCACAGAACCCGCAGGCGCAGGTGCCACACAGCGGTGAAGACTGGTGTGTTTGTGCCAGCTTCTAGCAGGGGTCTTCAAACTTCTCTCATTATGAGAATCACCTGGTGGAGGTGTTAAAACACAGATTCCTGATAGCACTTCTTATAGTTGGGATCCGGGAATCTGTGTTTTAACACCTCCACCAGGTGATTCTCATAATGAGAGAAGTTTGAAGACCCCTGTTCTATGGCATGGACCGTCAGAGGAAGGACACGCAGGAAGCTGACGCACAGGGCGTGGGCTAGAGGAAGTCTCTCCAGGGTGGGCTTTTTATTTTTATTGTTTATTATTTTTTTATTTTGACTCAGAAACAGACGTAAGTCAGTTTAATCAATGCAATAAATCACACCTGAGGTGGCAGGGAAGTGTGCCATTTCTCAGCCCTAATTTAAGGATTTAATTCATCGTTATTACCGAAATCCTTCTGGGGGAGGATCTACGTCCAAAGAAAAGAGAAAGCCGGGAAGCCTCTGCGAAGGGGTGACAGCCACAGACGCAGAGCCTGGGCCTGCCCCCCAGGGCGGCACTGCTTGTGTCTGTGACTCAACTGTCTGAAACGGTGAGTTCAGTGTTTTCAACAAGGAGGAAAGGATGTGTAATACCACATTACATTTATTTAATAGTGTTTAACTTTGAAATTAAAAAACACCTTAAAAACCAATTTATTTAAGTCAACAATTTTAGGAGAAAACTTTGAATTAGTTTACATTAATCAATTACTATCTTCACGATAGTTCAACGCCAAAGAGCCAGGGTTCGAGTTCTGCAGAGAAAAGTAACAAACGGCATCCAACTCCGGGCACTCCGAGTTCGCCTCCATGCCGTCCATAAAACGTCGTTGCAAAACACACTGGGCTTCCTCGTCCTGAACAGATAAGGATGTGAATATTTAACCAGCACTTGAGGCTTCTCTTTATTTTTAAGTCAATGAGCACTGTAAATATTTTTCAAATAAATGTTGCTATTGACTATTGACTCACTCCTTAACTTTTTGTAAAAAAAAAAAAGATGTTTACTCCAACCATTTTTTGTTCTGCGTTGAAGTAGTTCTTTCTGCTGATTAAATACCCTGAGCAGGGAGCATGATGGGTAGACCCCCCTGGCTCCGTCCTATTTCGTAAGACCGGCTGGGGCCCTTTGCCTGGGACCTTGGATTTCCTCATCGTAAAAAATGTTAGTTAGGCCTTTATAGCTTTTCAGCTTTAAAACCTACCATGCACAGGAATCTGTAATTCCCTTGTTCAAAACAACATAGTTGTGTTTTCACATAAAGAATTAGCTGACTTTTCGGCTCCAGGAGCCAAGTCTCTTCTTAATCCCTGGCTGTTGAGTTGACTTCAGCAGAGCCTCCCCGCCAGGCTGGCCGCCCTCCCTCTCCTGGCGTCTTCTCCTGACGTGTGTGACTGAACGGAGGGGTTACTGCAGGGGGACATCTGCTACG